CATCATCCTGGTTTCCCCCAGACACCTGCCTGCTCCAATCTGAAGAAGATGCAATAAGGGGACAAAGACAGGATCTTCCCTCCTCCTCTTCCCCTTCCAGCCATCACTAGTCTGGCTGCATTACAATACCCCCAAACCTCTTTCTCCACCCTTGCTGGGGTTGGGAAATAAATCAGCATCAGGCCTGGAGACTACTTGGGTGGAGACCACAAGCAGATCTCTCACTTCTATACTCTCCTAGGAAGTAAAATAAATGTCCTCTGAAGAAAGCATTGGCAAATCACTTTGATGATTTAATTATTACCCCACCTTACTCCCTTGACAGGACTGCCAGGGTTAGGGTTAGGGACTGCCAGGAAAGAAATCAAGAAGACACACACACACACACACACACCCATCTCCTCCCTTACCATCCCAAAATGCCAAGCTCAAACGTCTCTACATATGTTGCTCTCCAGCCTTGTGGCACCAGATCTTAGGATTATCATTGCTGGTGGTTCTGCTAGAACCAAATGCTCTGAAGAAGAGGGGATCCACTACCCCAAATTAGGATCTCTTGAACTCTGGGGAAAACTGAGTTGCTACTGACCTCTTCTGGAAGAAAGCAGGCAAGGTGTAGGAGAAAAAGAATTAGATTAATTTAATTGGGGGTACATTGGGAAGAATTATGTGGCTCTAATGCTCATCTTCACGTTCACCCTGAGCACCACACACACATGCCCTGAAACCCATGTTTATGTCATCTCCTCAAGACAGTGCCTTCATCTCATCCCCAGCCCAAAGCAGAGACATTTGAAGGTCCTCTGTAGCTGTTCAAGTTTTAAAGTAGGGTTTTCTTTCTGCTTCCTCCAACATTTTGGATATTCCTTGAAAACAGGGTTGATGAGGGGATCCTGAGTGGGATGGGCCCAGCTCCTGTGGATCACTTTGGGCTGCAGCATGCTTGCCCCTCTGCTTTAGTAGCTATTAAGTATATTCACGAGGTTTGCCCCTGGCTTGAATTATATTGTTTTTGTGTGTTAGAGTTTACCAGAAAGGTGGCAGCTTAGAAATGAGGGAGGGAGGGAGGGAGGGTAACCTTCAGAGAATTGCTTAGCCTTGGTGAGATTTTGTACTGTCAGCAAGTGCCTCTCTGTTGCTGTGACCATCTGTGCTGCAGAAGTAGACAGCGGCATCTTTCAACTGCACCTTTGTGATGTTGAAGTGACTCTGCTTCTTTTGCTTGTCCAAATCGGCAATGAGGTGGTCATCTTTCTTGGATTCCACTGATGTAACCTTTAGGAGAAAAACAGGTGCTTCTCCTGCATATTGCCTGTACCAGTACATAGCATAGACAGTACTGGAGCTGAACTGACAGGCGATGGTACAATCCACTCCTTCTTTGCTGACTTCTACAGGCTTCTGATCCACTTGTTCCTGGCATCGGACAGCTGGAAGAGAAAGGCATGGGAATCATTCAGTTGCTTCCCAGGAACATTTAGACAGTTTCCTTCTCTTGGAGGTTCTGCTTTAATTGTCAGGTGATTAACATGGGGACTAACATAGGGAGGAACAGGAGGGGAAATATGCCACTCACCACCAAAAGAGAGTATCAGCATCATCACCAGGAGGATCCATTGGCTCATGGCCATCACTCTCCGGGGTTGCCCCTGTGGAATCAACCAGCCCTGCCCTACATCAAGGAACAGAGTCCTCACTCAAACATTTCTTGAGATTTCGGATCTGTCCTATCAA